TTCCTTCACAGATCTGCCAGACCTGCTGAGTTTTTCCAGTAGATTATGAAATCTTGTCTCAGGTCATCGCCAACCGGGCAGGTCTGCTCTGCAATCGGTGAATCACCCAGACCAAAATTGTACCAGGCAGGACAATCTCTGAGAGCCTCATGCTCTTCAGGGATGCGATCAGCTATGTACAGGATGGGGGGATGGATTCTTGCCTCATTAACCTGGACCAGGAGAAGTCCTTTGACAGGGTATCACACAAGTACATGTGGGATGTGCTGTCCAAAATGGGCTTTGGGGAGGGAATTTGCAAATGGATCTGACTGCTCTACACCAACATCGTTAGTGCGGTCTCTATCAACAGGTGGGAATCAGAAAGCTTCGCAATTAGATCTGGAGTAGGGCAAGGCTGCCCACTCCCTCCTGCCTTGTTTGTGTGTTGTGTAGAGCCTTTAGGAGCAATGCAAGCCTGAGAGGGGTGACTATTCCAGGCAGTGGAGGCTGCAGGTCAAAACTCCCTGTAATAGATGACATCGCATTTTTCTGCTCAAATCCACTAGCAGTGTGAATCTGTAACCAGTTTGAACTAGCCCCGGGAGCCAAAATAAATCAAGGCAAGAGTGAGGCCATGTTCTTCGGGAACTGGGCCATCCGATTCTTTATCTCCTTCACCATCAGGATAGAATGCCTGAAGGTGCTGGGAAAATGGTTCAGAGGGGCTGGGATGTGTGCAAAAACTTGGAAGGAATGCATTGCCAAGGTGAAGCAGAAACTGGGCTTTTGGGAGCACTGATCCCTCGCCATTGTGGGTAAAAATGTGGTCATCAGGTTGAGGCACCCTGTCTGTTGTTGTACGTGGTGCAGGTCTGGCCCATTCACTGAAACTACACCATTGCAGTACCCTGAGCCAATTGCCACTTCATCTGGAGGTCTAAGATGGACTGTGTCTGCAGGGACACCATGTACGAAGCTCTGGATAAGCGGGGTAAGCATGTACCCAATGTCACCCTCATCCTGATGGCCACCTTTGTGTGCAGCTGCATCAACATGTACATAGACCCTCGGTGTGCAAACACCAAGTGTCGCCATGGACTGAGGTTCTAACTGCCTATGGTATAGTGAAGTATGAGACTTGCCTCATTATCCCGAAACATTCCAAGTAGTTGGACTATTCCATATCACCTGTTCTTCATGGAGAAGTTTACAAAGAAAAGCTCCTTTGACCACAAGTCCATCAGGAAGTGGTCAGCACACAGCATCCTGGAGACCCTGCGGGAAAAGGAGAGGGTGGATCCTTTCAGGTTATTCCTTGAGCAGACTGTCCAAGTCATTTGGCAGAATGCCTCATCACAGAACTTTCCAGCAAGCACCAAGACTTCATCTGGCTGGTGATGAGAAGGGCACTACCTGTGGGATCCTTCATGTACGCCCAGACACTCTATGCGACAATATGCTGCCTTCGAAGCTGCTGCTGCGGGGTAGAGACTGTCACACATCTCCTTCTGGAATGTGCCTTTGCAAAGTAAGCCTGGAGAACAATGCAGTGGTTTATGTTGAGGTTCGTTCCGAGCAGCAGTCTGTCCCCTGGGTCATACACAGAGTCGAACATCAACTATCAACTTAGTGAAAGGCTCTCTTTGGTCTGTCCGAAACTTGTTGGCCTTCCAGGAGTTGACCTCAACCGAGTATTGCAAACTAGCTCATTCCAAGGTCCTGCACTACATGCTGAGGGATGCACTAAAGCCTGGAGCAGCTACTGCCAAGGTGCAGTGGGGAAGGGTCACCGTCTAAGGTCTTTCTGCTGAAGTTAAATGGGTGTCCGTTCAGTTATTGACAATGCCCCCCCACCACACCACCCTGTGCCTCAAATAGATATAAACATAGTCTTGTACAAGTAAGAAATGCCATTGCTGGATAGAGTCAAACTCCAATGTTTATTTGTTTCTTCATGCACTACTGTGCAGAACCAAACTGCGTTTGTGACTATGTATATAAAAATATTTTTATGAATAAAGTATATTTTTGAAATAAAGAAAAGTATCAGTGAAATAAACCCACTCATGTTTACCCAATCTGAGAGTAAATGTTACTTCAGTCTTACAGCAATGTGATTGATTCTTAAATGCCTTCCAAAGTAGCTTGTAAAACTACTCTATTTCTATAGGAATAAACACCAGCCATGCCAGAAATCCCAAGAATAAATCCCATGAAATGTCTCAAGCGATAATCTCCAGAACTCAAAGAGAAAGCTGTAGTGAGGGATTCTGATCCACAAGCACAAGCTGATAGCTATGGTGCTCTCTTGCCAGTACACCTCATTTAACTATCCATGAGAGTTGACCTTCAAGATGTTGCCCTCAGGCTGTCGCTGAACTGAGAGTAAAAGTTGAAACGCATCAGCTACACTTTCAGCCAATTCCACAGAAATCCTTATAAGAAATGATTCTAGATCAGTGAAGCAGAAAATGAAAAACTTATAAAACCTTATTATGTTTATTTGAAAGGAAAGATTGACTCCTGTTATGATGAGTTCTTTTCCTGAATATATAGCCCTTTTGTAATATATGACAGTCCACTAACATGTACAAACTAATAATTTGCCACATTTAATGGGAGAACAGAACTCTCAGTAGAAGTAAGTTTCCATGTAAGTTACCTGCTTACGTACAAAAGATTTTTGAATTGGTTCATCAAGGGACTACAGACATGCTGTCTGAGGAAAGAAGAATTATTACAAGTAGAAAAAGTTAGGAAAACAAAAATCTATGAATATTATTCATGAGACATTTGTTTTTCCTTACAGAGCCACAGTTTGCCAAGGAACAGGACCTGTTCTCCAGTGTCAACACCACAAGGATCAGGCTGAATCTTCTTGGTTGGATTGATGGTGGCTGTCCAATCACCATGTTCACCCTTGAATATCGGCCATTTGGGACAACAGTCTGGACGACAGCACAGCGGACGACCCTGTCCAAGTCATACATCCTGTACGACTTGCAGGAGGCCACGTGGTATGAACTGCAAATGAAGGTGTGCAACAGTGCAGGATGCACAGAGAAGCAGACAGAATTTGCAACCCTCAATAACGATGGGAGTAAGTACCCCAGGAACAAGCTTAGGTCACTTCCTTCTGGAGCAAAGGAGGTCACGTGACTCATTAATGCTGGTCTGAATAAGAACCAATGCAAAGGTTGTAAAAATTCGTAAATTGCCAAGCACAGAGATGGCATTTATGAAGCAAACTGTGCTTTTCTCTCTTTTTAGGTCATTTCCCACATTGCACACACCCAATCCACAATAAAACAATAGAACAAAAACAAAGTTGCTGGAAAAGGTCAGCAGGTCTGGCAGTATCTGTGGAGGAGAAAACAGAGTTAACATTTCGGGTCCGGTGACCCTTCCTCAGAACTGATGGTGGCTGGGAAAACGTCAGTTTATATGCAGAAAATAGGGAGGTGGGTGGGGTAGGGAGTAAACAATAGGATAGAACCCAAACAGAGAGAAAGACAGTTGGACAGACAAAGGAGTTGCTAACGATCAGGCTGGGAGGGTGAATAGTTGTTAATGGGGACTGTTAGTGACTAACAACAGGGGGTGTGTAGTGGCAGTTTCTGTAATGTGTAGTTTCTGCATATAAACTGATGTTTTCCCAGCCACCATCAGTTCTGAGGAAGGGTCACCGGACCCGAAACGTTAACTGTTTTCTCCTCCACAGATGCTGCCAGACCTGCTGAGCTTTTCCAGCAAATTTGTTTTTGTTCCTGATTTACAGCATCAGCAGTTCTTTTGGTTTTTATAAAACAATAGAACAGTGATTGTTCCCTGAATAATATCATCAGTTTCAAGGCACTAATAATTTTGCCAATTGTATATAAAAGTTGTATCTATTTTAAATATAAAACACATTGAGGATCAATTCAACTTCAGAAGAGTCCCACTACTTTCACCCACCATCTAGCCCCAGATGCATTGCATTAATTTGTGAGTTGAGGTTGTTTTAGAATACACACCTATTCAACAGTTTCATTGAAAATCAGTTTATTCATCAAGTCGCAAGCAAGGACATTTGGAGAAGTTCTCAGTATTTGGATGGTAGAGAGATTCTGTACTTCAGTGAGGATTTAAAGAAACGTGTGGACATTTTGTGTGCAGATTTCCAACAGGTTTCAGCATGTCAGTACTGAACCCAGTGGCCATGGAGTCTTTTTAAACTCAATAATAACAACCCTTTGTTATGGACCAGATCAGACCCCCTCAAAATATATTAAGAAAGTAGCCTAGAGCCTAATTCTTTTCTGATTTAAAAGTAAATGTGAGGTGCTGTGTTCCAGGTGCAATTTGACTGGTCAAACAACTCGACGTTAAGCAAAACATAATTTATCCAAACACGATAGTTGAACTACAACAAAAGAAAGAGGAACTTGGAATAACAACTCTATTGGAAAACTTAACAGATTAATAGATTACTTTAGTACGGAATAGTAACAGTTCCAATATAGTAACATTCCATAAACACACTCTTGGCAAAAGGCAAATTCAGAAAACAGAATTGTCTCACATGCAACTCCAGCAGCCCAAGAGGAAAAATATCCAGTGAAAACTCAGAGAGAGAGTGTAGCAGTCGGGAGAGATTCACTGCCTTCCAACTCTACTGAGACCCCAGCAACAACTGCTGAAAAAAAGCCTAAAAATCCTGGATCTGTGAGAGCTCAACCTTACCCATTCAGGCTGCTTCTATTGTTCTAACTTTAAAAAAAAATCCAAGGCCTTACAAACTGTTTGCTTTAGTGGTTCTGGTAGACTGCTCTCCACCTCTGCCTTAAAACCTCTCTTCAAAAAAAAAGGACAAAATAACCTCTTAAAGCCACAGCATTTATGGCGTTACTACCCAAGTGCCTACCACACTGAGAGCTGGGAATTGAGGCCCCCTCATCAAGGGCGGAGAAGCAGTCAGCACTTGTTAAAAGGAGCACTTTGAGGATCCCCTGAACTGAGAGTCAGTCCTCAATGTGAGTGCTCTCAAGCATGTTACCCTTCACCACCTCAGCACAACTTCAGCTCGACGTGAGATTGAAAAGGCCACTTGACAGCTGGGACCAACAAAGACACTGTGTAGATGGCATCCCCACTGAAATACGGAAACCGGGTGGGGAAATGTCCTTGGCTATACAACCTCAGCTCCCTCACCTGGATGGATGGGAGCATGCCGGGGAAGCCCAAAATGCAAATGTGCCAACCATTTTGTGCACCTCCAACAAGCCCGGCTGGTGATCAAGTGAAAAGATTATGCGGAGACCCGCACATCCCATCCACCAGCTACAGGAAACACCTCCTGGGGCAGCATGTGCAGGTTCCATTTTGGACTGTTTACTCCGTTTACGTCCACAACACCAGTGTGAAAAGACATCATCCTTCATCCTGATGGACTCTTAAGAACTAAATAGATAGGATCTTCAACTCCATGCCGCTGCCTTTACTCCATATTCCTTGAAAGCCATCCCTAACATATATTCATCAAACTCAATTTTTCAATTTTTAAATTGACAGTGATTTTTGAGGCAAGTTATAGGTTTGAGCCCCACTTTGGACAGCAGTGGAGGGACAACACTCAGGGTAGATCTTTCCAATGGGAATGTGGCGGTGACTGTCCTCAACCCCATTGAATCTGATTTGTTTCCCTTTTGGGATTTAATAAAGGCAATTTATTATGGAAATTACCCAGAACACAATTGCCTAGTTGTAAAACTAGGGTTAAAATGGGCTGCCTCATGTGCTGTTAGGTATGAAAAAGAAATATTTATTATAATATCTAAACTGTTTTGGATTCCAGCCAGAACACTCTCTGTTTTTTTTTCCTTATTTGCAAAGAATCATTGTTGTTACCAAGAGAAGTCTTGGCAGTAGCGCTGATGTTGACACAGATTCCTCACAGCATGGGGCCAGAAATCTGTTCCTTTTGGCATTGCATGAACATTTAATTTGACTGTGTTGCCACTGTCCTGGTAGCGCAGTGGGGTTTGGTTTAGCTTGGATGGGCTGGTTTGCAAAGCGGTGTGATACCAACAGTGTGGGTTCAATCCCTATGTCAGCTGAGATTGCCTTGAAGGACTCTCCTTCTCAACCTCTCTCCTCTTGCTTGAGGTATGGTGGCCCTCAGATTAAATCACTGTCAGTCATCTCTCTCTAATGACAGAGCAGCCTTATGATCTGGTAAGACTATGGCAACTTAATTTGAGTCGTGAAGCAACCTCAAAAAGAGTAAACACACAGGGGTTTGCTAAGAATAGATGGAGATGAGCCCTATGAATGCTTGTGTAATGAACACAACCTTTTATATTACAGAACAATATCACGACATAGCTAGAAATTTCCTCTGAACTATGCTTCCTTCATCACTATTACCTTGATAAATGTGTGGTACTCCTTGCTACACTATATTTATGGCAAAGTGAGATGAGTACCGAATACTATATATTTTATCTATCGCGGGACAATGCAGTGATGGCATACTGTCTCAGTATGCAACTAGTTTATTTCCAGGAATTTCAAAATATCTCTATCGCAAAATATCAGCTTCTAATACTTTCTGTTAACATTACCCCTGCGTCAACACCGAAGCTTAACCAATCAAGCACAATGAGCATAGATCAGTTACGAGACTTACATAATTAAACACGGAATAGCTGAACACTACACCAAGAAATCTCGCTCCTCTACTTTGTAAACATTAATGAGTTGAAACAATACCTTTAGCAAGTGCCAAGCACGAGTATGCCATACTTAACTCACAAGGCAGTGAAAACATTATACAGTCACTGCATTCTTCTGGTAATTTACAGGACAGTTATAGTTATCTCATAGTTATTTCAATAGTTCACCAATGTCCTTTAGGGAAGGAAACTGCTGTCCTTACCTGGTCCAGACCCGCAGCAATGTGGTTGACTCTTAACTGCCCTCTAGGCAATTAGGAATGGGTGATAAATACTGGCCTAGCCAGCGACACCAATATCCACGAATGAATTTTTTTTAAAAATCAAAGTTTTAGGTTTCTGGACATTTTTTTGACTATTACCTACAGGGGAATGATTTCGATCCTGTCCCCTTTCACCTGCTGAGAACGAGGTGCGATTGAGGTTCACTGTTGTCAGACCAGTCCTAACTGTGTTGATACACCCTTCTCAATGATTGTTGTTTTGCTCCTGAGTTTTGAAGGGATTGTGAGTCAGCTTGCCTATACTGTAGTCCACAGCTTTCTGGTTCATTATCAATCATCTGGCCAACAACTGAATCCTGCAGAACCCCAAGAGATACAAAATTCAGTCACAAATGTCACATGTTGACATTACGAAATGCAGAGGATTCACTTCTTGCTACTGATCCCAATTTTTAATTCCCTTGGATTTCATGGGCTTGAATCTTTCCAGGCTGCAATGTGGAGCCTTGTCAAAAACTTTCTCGAAGCCATGCGGACTACATCAGACATGCTACTCCCGTCACTTGTTGCCAACTCAACCAATACAAACTTTCCCTTAACAGATCCAACTCTGGAACTCCCTTCCCAACAGCGCTGTCAGTATCCCTACAGCTTCTCCAGGGAAATCAGGGATGACAGGAAATGTTGACTGAATTGCACCCATATCCACGAATGAATGAAATAATGTTATTCATTTAGTCTGTAATAAGCCCTACTCGTTTCTTAGTTATTCCCTGACTCTTTATGTACTTATAAAATATCTTTCATTTAACCTTGATTTTACTTGCCAATATTGTTTAGTCCTTGATATCTGATAACAGCTTCCCTTTATTGCCTCGTCCTACCCTGTATGCTTCCTGACATTCAGGGAAGGGGTTCTAAATTCAGGATTCTCACACTTTTCCTTTGCATGAGTGTATTTGTTCTGAGCCCTCTCTATCTCCTCCTTGAATACCTCCCACAGCTCTGACACTGCTCTCTGTGTTCACCCAAGTGGGAAATCGAGTAGCTCATTGATACAGATCAGGTTTTGTGTTTACCCAGTCCACTTTCAGCATGGTTGAAGAAGTGTAAAAGATAAGAATGTCTGGTTCAGGTTACAATAGGGTACTGTTGTTACACTCTGTCACTATACACCGAGATACAGAACAGCATGAGTCAACCTCTATAAAGGTTCAATGCTTAGATGATTTTCAGGTGTGACTGATGCCACAGAATGTAATATCAGCCAATGACCATCATAAAGTATGAGACATATAATATCCTGTTTAAATTGCAAGGCAGTAACATACCTGGTAATTTATTGGTTAAAGGCACATCTAATAGGTGTTACATATGCAGCATTTACTAAAATGAAAATAAGAAATGCAATAAGTGTTGATCTGCAGGAACACTGTTTCTTCAAATGATCAACATTTAACAATGGAAATAAAGGATTTGAACTCAGCTTTTCAAGCCTTTTTGATGACAGAATTGCTTTAATCTGCACCCAGAACTTAAATACTGTTAATTAGCTAATGTTACTATGGCGACTAGAAACGAAACTAAACCACCTTAAATGTCAACAGCACTTACAACACTCCTTAAGGACTGAACATGAGTCTTTGTACCTCAAAATACAGTTTAATCCAGCCTGTAGACAATTAAGCCCCATTCATCTTGTTATATGAGACACCCTCACATGTATCAGAGGTTTGTCTTCATTTTCAGGAATATTTCACATTATTTAATGGTATGAAATTATGAAGTGTAATAAAAAAGAATTAAGAATACACTGCCAGTGCTTTATCGTCACAGCTATCATATATGTGATCCCTACATATGCGATCTAGAAATTCCTGGAAAGATGAATTCTCGAAGATAATTAGGATTTAAATGTCTCTTATGTGGTAATACAAAATAGGCACTAAGGAATTGGCAGCTTCTATTATGCATTGCCCAGTCTTTTATTCCATTGATTTCAATATTGTTTTGTTATCACTTATTTTGGAACAGCATCCAATGGGAATTTTTCTACTCCAATGATCTTCTGGCCATCCTTTGTTTGGGGATTGGGGGCAGATTGAGGGGGCATTTTTGACATCTGTGGAGGTCATCTGTATGATATTTCATGATGGCCTTGGGTCTTCTTCACACCAAGGGTTTATGATCTGAACAGTAATTTAAGCTAACATCAACTGGACCAATGTATAGGTCTTGAACTTTTAACAAAGGACACTTTGCAAAAGAAAACAGCTCTAGGTCCAACAGCAAGGAGCAGAGGTTCAGATGGATGCAGCTGTCGACAAGAACGTAGAATATAGAACATAGAACAGTACAGCACAGTACAGGCTCTTCAGCCCACGATGTTGTGCCGACCTATTATCCTGCTCTAAGATCAAACTACCCTGCATACCCTACATTTTACAATCATCCATGTGCCTATCTAAGAGTCGCTTAAATGTTTCTAAAGTATCTGCCTCCAGTTCCACCGCCGGCAGCACATTCCACGCATCCACCACTCTCTGTGTAAAGAACCTACCTCTAACATCTCCCCTATACCTTCCTCCAATCACCTTAAAATTATGCTCCCTCATAATAGTCATTTCTGCCCTGGGAAAAAGTCTCTGGCTATCCTCTCTATCTATGCCTCTCATCACTTTGCACAGCTCTATTAAGTCACCTCCCATCCTTCTTTGCTCCAATGAGAAAAGCCCTAGCTCCCTCAACCTTTCCTCATAAGACCTGCCCTCCATTCCAGGCAGCATCCTGGTAAATCTCCTCTGCACCCTCTCTAAAGCTTCCTCATCCTTCCCATAATGAGGCAACCAGACCTGAACATAATATTCCAAGTGTGGTCTAACCAGGGTTTTATAGAGCTGCAGCATAACCTCGCGGCTCTTAAACTCAGTTTCCCTGCCAACTTTCAGAGAGATGTCGCAGAGCCCAGTTTGTGAGGGGAATAAGATTGTTGTGTTTTGAGCCTACTCAGAGAGATTTTGGGATATCTTGCTCTTTCTCCATCTCTTATTCCCTGCAACTACTCTTGACAAAATGTCGGGCTACGAGCTCACTAAAAGTGGCAATAGGAGGCCAGCAGCTCTAACTGGCCAGGCCTTCTTCCTGGGGTCTTGATTCCAGACATGAATCCAGTAGTGGCCTTGCCACTGCCTGATAAGTGTTCGATTTGATGGATTTTCTCTGGAAAGGCAGCCCAGGTCTGCCCCTTTTGCCTTAACAAGATTCTGCCTATCAGCTCTGAGTGACAGAGCTTTAATTTTAAGGTTGTGTCCCTGTGTTGTTCTGAATACTCCCCCATTGCATGCAGTTTTTTGGTACATCAACTGGATGGTGAAATTCTGAATGAGTGGAATAATTACTGACCAGACTTACTCTTTTGTTTGAAAAAGGTATCCTACCTTGTATCAGAGATAATAGGAACTGCCGATGCTGGAGAATCTGAGATAACAAGGTGTAGAGCT